TTTGAAGGTAAAAATTTTAAGTCTTTTTAGGTTTTCCAGCCACCATAGACGGTGGCCGACGGTGGTTGTTGGCACCGATATGCAGTGGTCGGCCAGGCTGTTATAACCATAGGAAGAGAGAGATGAGAGAATTTTCTCTCTCTCAAAAGTAAAGAGAGAAAGAAAATGAAGAAATGAGGCTTTTACCTCAAAATTTAACCGATTTAAGGCTTAAATACCCTCCCCAAAACTACGACGTAGTTTTAGGGAGGGGCCAGTGAGCAATTTCGTATGTGGGATATTTATCTATTAGGTCCCTTAGGCTTTGTGATTTATCGTTTTGGTCATTGAATGAAATTATCTGGTATTTCTATTTTAAGCATCAAGTTTTACCCGGGTTTCATTTTGGTCCTAATACTTATTTTTTATTTATTAATTTTATGTATATATGCATTTAAATTTAATTATATTTTTTTGACATGTATGATGGCCTCATAAGCATAACTCAACTTCAATTAAAATTATTTGACTAAAGGAAAATTTCATTCATTTTAAAATTATCAGTAAGTGACTATCTTAACTAATAAGAGTGTCACTTTCGAATATTTTAAGATGAAATAATATCCTATTAAGTGAAACTTTAAAAATTAATTATGCCTAAAATAGGGAAATGAAAGAAAAATAACATGTTCATTTATTTAAATTCTTTTAGAAAAGATCGTTAGAACTTATCTAAGGTCCGATCTCGATGTCTTTAAATAAATCAAATATTCTTTTTCTTTCTAAAAGGATTGGTAATTTTAAATTAATTTAATTTCTTGCATTTGAATTTTGGGGTAAAATTATAATATTTACTTGTTTCGATTGGAGACGGAGTTGATTGTCTCAAATTACGAGAGATCAATTCCTTTCGATAGGAAATAATTAAATATTATGGTATTTCATTCCAATATTCAAGAATCTTAAGGGATCTAAAATTAAATTAAATTCAAATTTGTAAATTTTATTGCAAAGATAAATAATTAATGAATAAGGTGTTGATTTAGGGTGTTGTGGGGTTGCTAATCCTTTCCCACACATAACCGACTCCCGAATCCATTTTCTGGTATGCATACCCTTTTTATGTTGTTTTAATAATTTTAAAAATAAATTGTATTAAAATAAAAAAAAAATGCTTTAGGTGTCCAATCACACCTTAATCAAAAATTGGTGGCGACTCCTTAAATCATGTTTTATCTTATTTAAAAAAGAAATACACCAAAAAAAATCGAGGAAAAATTTTAAAAATAATTAAACTTATTTTTGAAAAGAAAAATCGTTTCGACAATCGTAAAAAAAAATTCATCAGAGATAAAAGTTTTCACGTTACAAGATAGTTCATTATACATACATGATTTTACTTGGACGTTGTGTCTGGAATGGGATGAGGATTTATCTCAGAATTTTTTTCTTTGAAAACTATGCCCCTGAAACACTATAACCTATCTCGATTGATGCCCCTGTGGTGCTTTCAAGTCTCGGATGTTTTTCTATCAATCATTTATGGTGCGCAATCTTCAAGCGAGTTTCCATGTTCTATAAGCTTCATTGGTCATTGTTGCATGTTTATTACATGAATGCTTGATTAAAAACTTTTTCTCTACTTATGAAAATTTCCTCTTAGATATACAACTTCGGATCAACACTTTCATTATGTTACTATTATGCAATGCATAGAAGGTGAGAATAACACAAAATGGAAAAAATGAGTTAGTACAGGTAAGATAATCGATAAAAGCTGATATTTAAAGATAAATATAACGCCTATCCAATCATGGTATATACCCATAAATGTTTTTATTAAATAGCAATCCTACCCAGACATGTTTTATGCCCGACATGCTTATTTCGAGAAGTTAGTTGTAACCGCATGGTATATAGTTCACATGTTTTTATTAAATAATTTATTCTAAACTTTAAAGCAAACAAAAGGAATAAGGTTAGAGTACGCTCCCCCTTTGTGTGTACTTATTTTGGTACCTACCCATGGACATAGTTTTGACATGACTATACCTAGGGTAATCGATTTATGACTCACTATATGCATGGTTTCGGCTCTATGAGAAAGGGTCTTCAAATTATCTTTGACATTGATGCCCTTTTGGGCTGCCAAACCCTCGATCTTCACCCATTACAGGCTTCGAACATAATGAGTTTAATTTGAGAGGATCCACTTCCTTGTACCCATATGAGGAAATAAATTCCCACGGAGGTATAAGGCATGTATCCACAGGCAAATCACTATAGCTCATATGGGGAATAAATTTACCACGAAAGCATATTTCTCACCCCGAATTAATTAGGACGAAGCTCGGGTATAGAGCTTATGTCATGAAATGCATGTGGTGTGTGAGGAGTAGCATACAAACCTTTGACCACACGGCCCCACATCAAAATAAAATAATCATCTTTTGAAAAACGAATCTGAAATCAGGAAATACAAAACGTTAGTAAAGTAATCGATAAAAATAATCAAAATCGATTAATCAATGTCAGATAAAAAAGAATTATAAATTATTTAAAATCTCAAATTCACAATTTCTACCACCACGATAACGTATAAGTGATTAACGGTCTGATTCTTTGAACCAACCCCTAGTAGAGTCGCCAAACTATCATAACATTTTTAAAACAAAAAATTGAATTAAAAAATCAATCATGACTTAATTTTTGAAAATTTGGAGTTTTTGATGAATTTGAAATTTTTGGATTAGGTAGGTCGAATACCTAAAAATGTCGTTTAAAACAATTTTAAGAAAAATTATTTTAAAGACAAAAATTAGTATGCGTTACCAAAAATTATTTTTAAGAGTTCAGGACTCGATTTCGTGTGGGGAAGGGTGAACACCCCCCAGGGCGCCCAAAATTGGTACCTAATCGCTTATATGTTGTCGTAATGGTGAAATTTGCAAATTCGAATACAAAATTAAAATACGATCCTTTTTATCGAGAATAGACTAATTTATTTCGAATCACAAAATTGCACAAAAATCGATTAAATTTATTTCAAGTTCATTGTTCATTTGAATATCATTGAATCACACTACTCCTGTCGACCGATGCTTTCCACGTCAATTCTACGACAAGCTTTCTTGAAAATATTATAGCGAAAGACATTTAAAATGTTATTAAATAATAATAAAAATCTAACAAAAATAAAAAAAATACATTCATAAATAAAATACGTAAAACAAATAAATATACATACACAAAACCATACACATATAAATATTTAATACGACAACCCGTGCATAGCGATATTTACAACAAAAAATACCCATGCTAAGTTATAAGTAGTAATATACAATAAATAAAACAGGGACCAAATCGACAAAATAAAAAAGGAGCTAACCAGGTAATAATCCATATCTTTAAGCTTAAAATAGTGATTAATTTACATATAACAAAAAATATAGGGATTGAAAACATAAATAAACTAAAACCGAACAAATATTAAACAAAAAAGACTAAAATGAAATAAAAATAAATTGATAGATCAAGCCAAATATTTAACAAAAACATTAAAACATATGTATTATGACTGAAACGTAAAAATAAAAACGTGCAAGACTCAAATCCATAAATATCTCACTTCATTTCAAATCAACATATCATATTATAAAACTCGGGGGACTAAAACTATAATTTCCCCTAAAATAATGAAAGCACAGGAATGGGGAGTCCAAAACTACGTCATTTTACCCAGTTTATAAAAGCCCAAAAACAAGGCTTATTTCTCATTCCCTCCCCATTTTCTTCTATTTGGTTCTAGCATAAAGAGAATTCAAATTCTCTCAACTTCCCTCACCGGAAGAGGGCAGTCGCCGCCGTCGAGCGGAATCTCACAAAAAAAAAACCCCCTCTTTCCCCTAAGCCTAAAATCGAGGCTGGCTTTGCCTAAAACCCAGTCAAATCTCCTAGATTTAGGGTTTTTACCTTTCCAAAACCTTAAAAATCCGACGACTTTTCGATTTTTTGACATGCTTTGAACCAAAGTAAGGTAGTTCTTTCCTTTCCTTTCTTTTTCTCTTGTATTTTCTCTCCTTTTTTGTTCGAGTTTTCCTTTTTTTGCTTTTTAGTTCGAACTGCCTCTGATTTTTTTCTGTTCAATTTCCCCTCTTTTCGAAAAAAAAATATTCTTCTTTTTTGTCCTCCCTTTTTGATGCATGTTGTTGGATGTGATGAAATAGGGCATGATTGTCCTATTTCGGCTTGTGAGACAACGAATTTCCTCATGATTTAGTTTCTTGCAAGTTGATTTTTTTATTATTTTTTTTCTGATTTTTTCTTCTTCTGGTTTTGCTTCTTCTTTTTTCACTAACAAGTGATGTCAGCTGGAACGACGGCATTAGGGTGCCAGTGACGTGACGACGACTATGGCAGAATAGAAACAGGAGGTAGTGACAATAATAACTCCCTAGGGTTCGGGTTAGGGTTTTAGAAACCCTAGGGAGTTGTAATTGGGTCGGGTCAACTATTGGGCCTGACCCCTTGTGGCTTCGGGTTATTAGATTGGGTCAGCTTGTAACTGGGTCGGGTCGGATCCATTGGGTCTTGTAATTGGGCCGGTTCTGCTCCTACAAAAAATGTAAATAAAATAATTAATAATAATAATAACAATAATAAAATAAAATAATAATACGATTAAAAACACTCGGACAAAAACGGCTGTCTACATTCTTGGTTATGGAAATACAGGCTCCCAGCAGGAAATTGTTTCGTTGTACCAAAGGTTTTTTTAGTTAGATCGAAATGCAAAGGGATTTATATCTGATGTATCAGTTCCGGAGTTTTCAATGAATCCGTTGTCTCAGGTATTCTTTCGAGTTGATGTTATCTGAGTCGTGAATTAAGTTCTGGGATGTGAATATAAATTTGTGATCCAATGTTACCGTTTGTATGCTATGTTAGAGTTTCATGTAAAGGATTGAATTTGGTCTGTTGATGTCTTGCATTTTCAGAGGTTGCTTAAGATAGTGGATGGTTTGAACTTCAAGGACTTTGTTCCCTTCTTGTCAGCATTCAGTGCTAAAGCAAGTGTACAGTAGAAAATAAAAAGTGAGTTTTCACTGTCGTTTCCCTAGAGTGATTGACTTTTTCGGTAAGGCACAATCTGATTTTGAATCTATGGTCACGAGAAAAAGAATTCAGATTATCGATTACCTTTTGGGTGCCTTTTTATTGCCTCTTCTTCGTTGAAGTTTAAAAATGTTTCAAAATTAGTTTATGTTATTAATTTTTTTCTATGTTTCAGTTATCTTCAAAGTGTATGATTCTGATGGCAATGGAAAGGAGTCTTTCAATGACATACTAGAAGTGTTACGTGATTTGTCCGGTTCGTTTATTTCTGATGTTAAGAGAATGATGCAGGCTCACATGAATAAAGAGCGTGCTTGTGTAATGCTATGCATATGCATGCAACTCATGCATGTCCAGGTTCTAGAAGTTAGTCTGGAAGCTAGGTTGTTATGAGTTTGTTAGTCAGTTAGGAGGTTTTCTGTATTGCTAAGGCTGTGTATAAAAACAATATTGTATGTTGTGTTGAGCATAATTCTTGTTAACGAAGCAATGAATTAAAGAACTCTTTCCTTGCATCTTGAAACAAGTCCTGCAATATTCCAATATTGTATCATTTGCCAAACGGTCATGACTTTGTTTTTCTTTCGCTGCATGGAGTTCGTTGGCTCTATCGTGACTGCTTCGTATCTCTCACTTGATCCCCAAAGCCCTTACACTTGTGTTACTGGCACTGAGAGTCCCAGATCCGGTTAAAGATGAATGTGATTGAAAAGATCCAATCTTCGCCACAGGACCTAGGGAAAGTGGTGTTTTCCTTTGAGTTCTTCCCTCCAAAGACTGAGGATGGAGTGGAGAACCTGTGTGAAAGGATGGACCGAATGGTGGCTCATAATCCATCTTTTTACGACATCACGTGGGGTGCTGGTGGTTCGACGACGGATCTCACTTTGGACATTACTAACAAGGTGAAAAACATCATATGTGTTGAAACAATGATGCATCTCACTTGCACCAACATGTCTGTCGAGAAGATTGACCATGCTCTTGAGATCATCAAGTCCAATGGCATTCATAACGTTATCGCCCTTCGAGGCGATCCTCCTCATGGCCAGGACAAGTTTGTCCAAGTCGAAGGCGGCTTCGCCTGTGCCCTTGATCTGGTTAAACATATTAGAGCTAAATATGGTGACTACTCTTGCATAACGGTTGCCGGTTATCCAGAGGCTAATCCCGATGCTATAGGAGATAATGGTGTAGCGACACCAGAAGCTTATCAGAACGATCTTGCGTACTTGAAGAGAAAGGTTGATGCAGGAGCTGATCTGATTGTTACTCAACTGTTTTATGATGAGATTACTGCTGCCTTAGAGCCTATCAAGGACAACGATGAAGTTGTCAAAGTCTATGGGATTCACCTTGGAACAAAAATGTGCCGCAAGATTTTAGCTAATGGGATTAAGACGTTACACCTTTATACGTTAAACATGGAGCAGGATCACATCTTGAAAGCTAATGGTATGGTCAATTGTTAAGAGTTTTTTGTGTAGTTTGTTTACATTTAGAGTTTGTCGGGAGTTCAATTTCTTGCTGTCATTGGAAATAAATTTTGTTCGTACTAGTTTCTTGTGGATGTGTTGCACGCTGTTGCATTGCTGGCTTTTTGGATTGTGCATCATCATGATTTGTTGCCTCTATCTCAAAGTGTCATGGGACTTGAAAGCTTCACAGCCAAGTGTCCATGGGAAAAAATATATATGTCAAGGAACCTTATATAAGAGGATGAAGAAGAAAGAAATGAAGGTGAATAAGAAGAACGAAAGGAAGCATCAACACTTTCGATTCAAGTGAACAAAGGAAGCATCGACACTTTCAATTCAAGTCGAACGGAAGGAGACGTCGCACTTTCGATTCAAGTGTTCATCTTTTCATTAAGAAGGTTGAGAAAGTAGGGAGAATGTTGAGAGAATGATGCAGGCTCACATGAATAAACAGTGTGCTTGTGTAATGCTATGCACATGCATGCAGCTCATGCATGTCCAGGTTCTAGAAGTTAGTCTGGAAGCTAGGTTGTTCTAAGTTTGTTAGTCAGTTAGGAGGTTTTTTGTATTGCTAAGGCTGTGTATAAAAATAGTATTGTATGTTGTGTTGAGCAGAATTCTTGTTAATGAAGCAATGAATTAAAGAACTCTTTCCTTGCATCTTGAAACAAGTCCTGCAATATCCCAATATCTGATAACCAAAGAGAGGTAAAACCAATTATTTCTTCCTTCTATGGTTTTACTTTTATTGTTATATCATATGACTGAAAAGAAAATAAAAGAACAAGTGAATGATGATGATTGCTTGTATTCTGACCATAATTTACTTTTCCATGGGTAAAATATGCATAAATTCACTTATTTGATTTTCTGATTGTATCCATTGTGGGATATCCAGTGCACTCTTGTTGTTGGCATGCTGAAAAACAATGAAAACTCTAATGTAATGAATGAATTTATTTCACATATCACTTCGGAGGCGAGAAAGAAATTTATTGTTAATTTTCTACGATCATTTTTGTATCAATCCACCAATACATGGAAAAAGAACTAAAACAAACTGATCTTGTAGGTTTCCTTAAATTTTTAATTTTCTTTCTGAAGGAGATGATTTTCGTTTACGATGAATAATTATAAAGGCATTTGCATGATCGGTTTGACTTTCCGGCTCATGCACTCCGTTTGGATATGAAGGGATCCAAAAGAAGCGTTTTAATTCATTTTCTTTTCATCTGATTAATATATGCAATGAGTACCTTCATTACTAGTTCAAGTGAGATTACCCTAACTGAAGCTCTGTTCCATGCAAAATGATTTCCGGGAAATGTTTTCTTCATTTTCTTGTGTTTTTGTAGAAAATACTCTGGTCAATACAAAATGATTTACTGAGGCTGTTGATGAACTTAAACAATTCTACTTTAGTTTATGTTCCTCGTTAAATCTCTCATGGTAGTTAGTAAACTCCTATTTGATCAAAGCTGACTCAAGTAGGGTGTTTGGTGCTGAAAAGCATGCATCAGACTAAAGTGGCTACTAGCTAATGACTACTAGTGATTTAGTGATTGTATCATAGGATGATGAATGGAGGATCTAGAAATATTGAGGGTGGGCACACACATATTAATCATTAAAAATTTTTGTATGGGATGGGCTCAAATAAAATTTAAGGATGGGCACCCATAGTAAAATGGACAACTAAAACAAAGAAATTCAGATTCTAGGGTGGACACGTGATTTGCATCCGCTATTGATGATGATGATGATGATGATTAACTGGTGCCATTGACTACTGCATTCTTAAGATTTTTTTTTAATTGCAGAATAAGAATTTCAAAGTTAAATAGCATTCTGTATTTTATATAAGTAAATTTTTCCATTTCATTTTGGTTGTAACATTACTTTGAACAAATTAGAAAATTTCATGGTTTCTCTATTAAGGATAGCAACATGTGAGATTGACCGTACATGAGCAGTGTGCGTTAACATCTTACTCTTTTGTTCTTTCTTTTTGCAGCAAGTCTTGACCCAACTTTTGAAAGAAGCATGTTACTCAAAGGACTCTTACCTAACACTGAATGACTTCATTAAGGTGCTTTCCATTTTGTTTATATTACTATTGTAGTTTTCATTCTCATGTTTTCTGCATAAGAGTTTAATTTGTTAGGCTGGTAAAAGGAAAATAATGGCAGGGAGAGATTAGTATGAATAAAATCAGAGGATACAGTTAGATATCAATATAGTCAATTTCATGTTGGATTCTTAGGAGAGACCCATATATCCATATATGACTCTCACATTCGAGTAACATAAACAATTAGTTAACAAATATCATTAGGATTATATTGTTTAGTTGTCTAACTCTGTGTTACCATATTTCCTGAAGTATCACGTTCAACCTTTGTCTGATATATATACGGACGTTGATATGGGCTGTGATTCTCTAAATATATAGGAAAGCTTATGAAAAGTTACCCGTATTCAACGCATGCATTCACCGACCCTTTCTCCAGCAAACATAGGTCTTACATACCATTTATCAATGTAGTTTGGCATTCCTTGGTTGTAATATGAATTATGGACCTTTTATACTTGATGAAAGACATTGGACCAACAACTACTATGCTATATTTGACTGGCTTTATACCTTATTTTAAAGTTCAATATTCTGTTGGGTAAAACAGGAAGTGAACAATTCGAGGTTTAATTGTTCAAAAGTATTTGCATATTCTGCAATGAAGTAAATTGATGTAAGGCGAATCTACACGCTTTGGGAGAAGAGAGTAGATAGCCTTATTGTGTCCCGATCTAGGATTGACAAGTACTGATGTCCTTGAATTATAAGCTTGGGTTGCAAATAAGATAAGAAACAAATATGTTTAGTAATGGAAGGATAAATGGAATAATAAGATAAGAAATGAATTTAAAAGAATGGTATAGAGATGGCTGCGGAATTGATGGTCTTGTTGGTTGATGTTGATGGTGTTGATGGTGCAATGGAGATGGTGATGTTGTATCTCAAGCACGCCAAAGAGGAAACAATGCTAAGAAGCACAATCCCGTTCTTCACAAACTTACTTGAGGGGTGGTGATAGTGTCTTCAACCCACTAGATATAAATCTATGAATTTTGGAATCAAGATGGAAAGGAATGACGCCACAAGTATAGAAACTATACTTGTTTAATCGATAAAGTTCACAAAGAACTTTGAAGATAAATAATTCATAAGAGTATATTTTATATAAAAGATGAGATCCGTACAAATGAAGGCAAGCCACTCTATTTATAGGAAATGAGAGAGCTTGGTCGAATGGTTACAAGTTGTTTCGGCTAGATACATGTCTCTAGGAAAATACATAATGCTTGAGATGAATGAATAAGTCCTTTGGGCTTGTGATGGTTTTGGCTAATCCTTCATGAAAAGCCTTAATGATTCGACTAAGGATGGGAAGACATCTCCCTTGGCTGAATGGGCATGCTTGTTCATCTTGGCACCATTTTCTTCCCTTGGCCGAATGGTGGTGTGTCTCTTCATGTTTGGCGCCAAAGTCTCTCATGTGCATGGCATGTGATGTGGCCGAATAGGCATGGATCCTTTAGCTCATATTTCTTGGTGATTTAAGCTTCCAATAGGTGTGATCTCTTCATCCACGTGTTCCTTATTGAAAAGGCATCTTCATGGGCAGCATCATTCATGAAAGGTCATAATGTTTGGAAAGGTAACCCTTTATGTTTGAGCTACTTTGGGTGTGAATGAGCTGGTGGTAAGCTGGCCTTAGATGACTTGTAACATGGTGA